CTTGGCTGTGCCTTTTGATAAGCTCTCCTTAATGTGTGCCTTAATGCCCAGCTCCTTTGATGCTCAGCTTCTCCACCTGCACAGCCTGCTCTCATTCCTGTTTGATTTGTATCCACTAATTACCATGTTCTGCTGCTTTCTTCCCCCCTTCCCCAGGTTTCTGGGGTGCTGGTTATGTTAATAGCCCCATCTGAAATCAAGGTACTGAAATCAAGTACGGGTTCACTCACCCGGCTTTTTAGCTTTGCTTGGATAGAAATGCATACATTGTGTCCTGTCCCGTTGTCTCTCTGCAGGCCTGGGAGTGATGCCTGCTGGGGTGCAGCCTGCTGTTTCTTCCCTGACTATTTTTGGCTTCTCTCCTATCCTTTTCTTCAAGGATACAAAATCTTCATGATATCTCCACTGGAGACTGCCTTTTCCCAAGCCACATGTCTTGTCAAACTGTTGGCTTTCCTACAATATTTAGTTTAAAGGACCTTCTTTTTGTGCCAGTAGCCTTGATCCATTTTCATTTGCTTTAATACTTATAGCTTTACTGTATAGGCTCTACCTATTCAAGCCTGTCCTCAAGGTACTACACTCTGTACCTTGAGGTGACTCTGGACTTTTAAGGCACTTGGGGAAGCATTTCTGAGCATGTTACTGAGTTGGTCCTGGTCTTTAGCTGAATATTGCCTACAAGATTATTCTCTCCATCCTGCATTGGTGGCGACCATGGGGACCAAACCATGAGTTCTTCATCTAGAAAAGGCCTTTGGATGTCCACTAAACAGCTATAGACTGAGTAAGTTATTCCCTTGAAATGTGCCGTAGTCAGGTGTAAATGCTTAGACTTGTTTCTTTTTATAGGATTTTTGCACCTTTTCAAGTGTGTTCCTTTTTGAGAGATCCTACAAATATTCTCCAAGAAATGATAGGGTTGTCTTCCACTCCTGAGCAGAACTTAACTGCTTATCTTATTGCTCAGTGGCAAGGTGAATTCATGTCCTGTCATTTAGGGATTCAAAATCCTCTTAATCAGATTCTTGCCATGAATTCAGGATCCCTTGTATAGAATGTGCTGTCAATCCTGGGTAATTCCACTAAATTACATAGTCTAAGCATCCCACACAAGCCTGAAACATAGCTCCATGGAATGAAAATGTTTATTTTTGTATGTGTCTGGGATGTTTTAATGATTTGCAGTCGTTGCAGTGATTTGCATCATTTAAGTGAGATATTTTGGTTTTACGTGAAATGTGGAGTATAGAAAATCTCAAGAATGAAGGAAAACATCTTATTTTGCCTGAAATTTTAACTCCCCCCCACTTTTTTTTTTTTTTTTTTTTTTTTTTTTTTTTTTTTTTTTTTTTTTTTTTTCTGGAATTGATAGTGAACAGAAAGTGAATCCTAGCACCACTATAATCATGGTGCAGTGTATACATGTTCAGTTAGGAGAAAATATTAGAATAGAGATTGCCCAGGCTTTTTAGTAAATATGGGAGACATATTTGTTTGTTATTAATTAAATCTCCAGCCTGAAGATATGTTAATTATCTTAGATGTCAGTCTAATCTCTAGGAGGGCATCTTCAAAAGCATGTGGGAAAAAGCCTAAGGCATATAGATATGGTATTTTTCCATTATTATGAAAACAAACAATAAATTCCATTTAACTGTGTGCTTTTATAAACCTGGTGATGGGCATAGCATTTAGGGTGGGATTTAAACCAGTTAGCTGCAGCCAGAGGATGCTTAAGAATTAGTTCTTGTTTTGTTCAGAGCATTGATTTTTTTTTTTTTTTTTTAACCTTATCTTTCAGCTTGTTTTTTCCTTTGGGTGTTTCTCAGGGAAGGCATAATTCCTTAAAATCCCAAAAACCCCCACAAAAACCTCAGCCAAACTTCAGTAAGCTGTCTGGAAATTCCCAGACTCATGGGTTTGGGGCAGAAAGCCACTGGATAAAATAATCTTGGCACAATATTCAGGCTAGTCTAAAAACTTGTGGGTGACATGGGATGTCCTGGACTGCTCTTTTCCTGAATGGACCCAAGCACCGTTAAATGGTCACCCCTTGATTCCAGCCTGGCATCACCTTGTTGTGGCTCCCAGCCCTTGGATCCTGTTATTCCTCTGCCAGATGGAGGAGCCCATTAGCTGTGATAGGCCAATCAAACAGGTCCTAATTGATCTAGTGATGTGGTTACTAGTGATGACAGGGAGATGAACTTGATGACCCAGGAGGTCCTTTCCACTTCTGTGCTCCGTGGAGGCAGTGCAGTGCTAATGCTAGAATGAATCATGGGTGTATCTATATCCCTGGAAGCAGGCTCCATGGCATCTCCAACTATGCTTGACAGGGCAAAGTGTGTCTCCTCAAGTCAGCACACCAGCCAACAGCCCATGGACCAGACATGTACACAATGAATGCAAGGTGAAAATAGCATTTGGGCACTGGTAGTTGTTTGCTGCATCCAGTCCTGAGCCAGTGAAGGGAGGTCAGACCTGGACAGGCAGGAACTCACGGAAGGATGAACCTCTGCAGTGAATGCAGCTGGATGGTGGGAGAGGTAACCACCAGAATCAAGTGTTCCTGCAACAGATTCAGAAAGGAAAAGGGATCTGCAAATGTAAAGGACCTACCTTGCTACAAGGAAATGAAGGGGGTATTCCTGAGGCAGCAGCTCAGTCCCTGCTCCCCAACCCCAGGGCTCTGTCTGTCACTGGGCTCTCTGTTTCAGTGCTGCAAAGGGGAGATATTTTTTGGTTCACATCCTGAAGTGTGCTCACACTTGTACAGATGTGCTCACATGCAACAGCTGGAGTGTTGCATTCTCAGCTTCATAATCAGCTCCTGTAAGAGTTGCAAATATAAGCTTTATGCAAATTTACTAAATCCTATTCAGAAGGCTCTGTTCCTGCAGCCCAGATGTTGGATTATGGCCTTGTTTTCATTTGGGAAACACAGGGTGAATGCAATCCTAGCCCTATAAGGAACCACAGATCTCGATCCACCAGGAAGGACTATTTTGTGGTTTTTGGTGGTTTGTGGGCAAACACCTGGTGTGTTTTCAGCCAAAACATCAGATGTTTTGCGACAAGGTACACATTAACAGGAGCTGGGCTACTCTGCTGTGTATTTGAGGTTTTACCCTTCTGCCAGGCACTAACTGGTGATGAAAAGGGCTGGACCATGATCTAGATATTCTTTAAAAAAGCTGAAATAGCACTGATTCAGGTCTTTCACTGGCCTTGTTTCAGGTCTGGGATGCTGTTGTCTGGCACATGTCACTCCTGGTAACTAATTTCCTAATCAGTTATTGCTGGTGGACATATTGATTCCCACTGTAGTCATTAGGCATTTGTTAGCTGATCTCCTTCACCATTTTCCTGCTGATCCAGGTGCAATGGGACGCTTATTGAGTTGGATATATATGCACAGGCAAGTGTGTTTTGTGAAATTGTTTTTAAATGCAAGCCAAAAGCCACAGGTAATTAAATGTAACAAGGCAAGCCTCAGGACTTCCCATGGTGACCACATTCCTGCTTCAGGGATAACAGTTCTGTGTCATGAGTGTCATGTTCATGTGCAGGAGAAACCATGCAAGCTGGAATCTGTCATGGTGTCCTAGTGCTGCTGCCAGAAAGGGCCTGGCAAGCGCTCCCACCAAAGCACAGGGAGTATTAGGTCAGTAGTGAGTGTATTAGCTGAAAATCAGGTACAAACTTGCAAGGAATTTAGTGTTTGCAGACACGTACTCTGGAGTACTTGACCACAGCACAGAGGAGCAGACTCCAGGGTTACATATTGAATGCATGAAACTTGGGCTTTGGTGTGTGAGTGAGGACTAAATTGAAGTGCTTTAAGTGTGTTAGACCTGAAGTGATTCCTCAACATCCCAGTGCATTTCTGGTGATTCCTCTCTGCAGCATCAAGGACTGTGCCATTATCTTTAAGGCTGAACTACTCTTTCAGCAACCAGAATGATGCTATTGAATGTAATGACGCTGTTTGGCAGTGTGCCTCCATTTCACAAAGAAATGTGTTTAAACCTTTTTACATCTCACATAAAAGGATAAGTCTCCTCTTTCCTAGGTACTGCCACATCACCAGCACACTGGGGGAAGGTAGTACAGTGACTGAATAGTGATGGGTGCCTTGAAGATATTCTGCAGCTTTCAATTTAAAAATAGGGGGGGTTGATCAAATGCAAATATTCTTATCACTTGTATGCTCTCCCCTAAATTCGGGGGATATGGGAGGAGAAACAGAAGACCACAAAATCATGGAATGGTTTGAGATCATCCAGTTCCACCTCCCTGCTGTGGGCAGGGATACCTTCCCCTATACCAGGTTGTTCTGAGCCCCATCCAACCTGGCCTTGAACACTTCAAGGAAGGGGCAGCCACAACTTCTCCGGGCAACCTGTGCCAGTGTCCTGCCACTCTCATAGTGAACAATTTCTTCCTAATATCTAACCTAAGCTCTTTCAGTTTAAAGTCACTTCTCCTTTGTTCTATCACTGTATGCCCTTGTAAAAAGTCCTTCTCCAGCTTTCTTTTAGCATCACTTTAGGTATTGGAAAGTCAAATTTATGGAAAATCCATAGTTTTCATGAAAATGTATTTACTTTAGGTTGTCGTTGGTGATTTGTTGTTGTTGTTGTTGTTGCTGTGTGTGTGAAAAGTTGATGGTTTTCTTTGGAAACTATCCCCACTGAGTTGCAGTTCCAGTTGCAATCCATGGCAGAAGATGCCTCTAGCAATGACACTGGCTTTCTATCATGTGCATGCACAGAAATGCTTTATTCTCGGTTACCTTCTACATAGCAAGGAAAATTGGGATCTAATCTTCCTGTGGGCTCTTGTAGAGGAACCGCTGGTGCCTTGGGGGATCACACTCTGGCTCAAGGCACCTGCATCAGGCTGGTTATGGGATAGGGCAGAGATCAGTTTCACAGAGCAATTAGGAGAGCGGGGCGGGGTGATACCATAATCTAAGAGCAACCAACGCCCACATGGGGCGTGTTTTTGGCCTCCTGCTGTCACTGCAGCCATGGGTACGGGCACTTAGGCCACCACACCCTGTGGCCGATTCCAGCACTATAGAGCCTTGGCTGCTGATAAAACATAAATAATAATTTTGCAGAGAGAGAAACACTGTGTTCTTGTCACTTGCTGTTCAGGTGGGGGTGGTTGGGGGTGAGGGTTGTTGGGTGGCATGGAGGGGCTCAGTCCTTACTGGCAGGCAGGTTATTGCATAATCCTTTTTGCACTGTGCTCTCCTGGCACTCTCCTTACTGTCCACAGGAAAATGATCTCAGGACAGATTTTTCCTCCTTTCTTGAAATTCTGCTGTTTCAGTAGCCCAGTGACAGTCATTGTCTTTCTTTTCCATATGTGAGTTGAAGCCAGAGTCAGAAAAATTTCTACTTTGTTCCCAAACAATAGGACTGTGTTTTTTTGCATGACCACTCTGGGTTTCCAGCCGGTGTGCCATGCTTTACTTCTAGCTGTGGTCCACAGCTGGTGCTCAGCAGAGGCTGGAGAATACCCACAGTGAATCCAGGCAGTTATGCAATGCTACACATGAAGTAAAATTCCTTTCTAACCCCTGCAGGCGATCAGTTTACACCCTGAATGATGAGATTTTGATTACCCTTATCTAAGGTACAAATACTGTTATACCAGTGGTGAAATCAGCTGGCTCTGGTAAGGACTATCAAAGCACAGATCTTGGTGGCCTTCAGAGGCTGAAAGTCCTTGGCAGTTCCAACGGGATGTCATGGTGCTTTGCTATGGATGCAGATGTTATTTACTGAGACTTTGTAGATCAAAACCCAACTCCTGCCATCTCCAGCCTCACAATTTTCAATGAGCAAATACTGCCCTGGGAAGTGTTGACAGTAGGAATGGCAGGCTGCTTCCTCAGAGACAGCAGGGAGAGCTTGTTGCTTCGATGCTGGATCTCCCTCTGAATGCAGAGACTGGTTCCAGCATCCCCAGCCCCACATGGCATCAGTTATAGCTTGGGGAGCAGCTTTGCTCTCCCAGCGAGCATTGTTTCCCAGGGCAGCTTTATTCTTCTGCGAACAAAAGTTGTTGAACTGCAGGGAAGCTCCTGGCTGGAAGGTGGGACCTTTCCACAGCCTGACTGAGACTGATGGGTGGAATGAGACTGGATGTTGTGTTACACACTCAGATGCATCTCTCCCCAGGGTTCTTCTGTCTTGTATTTCACATCTAGAGGAAAAAGTACGTTTAAAAACAAGCCAGCAGTAAGCCAGAGCTGCTTGTACTGCTCAGCGTGATGGGAGGGAAGGAGAATTGATAAGTTAATCAGTTTTCAAGGTCAGGAGAAATCAATAGGACCAGTCAGTCTGGTGTGCTGGGCAAATCAGACCCTAAACACACTAGTGAGTCCTGTATCAGGCTTGCCTGAGAGATAGCATTGTTGTTTTGACTCATGGGAGGATCTCTCGCACCACAGGGATGAGTTCCAATATAAGACCAGGGATGAATAGACTGAATTAGGTGTGACCCAGAGGATAATGCAGCCTTCTGCATCTTAATGTATTCATCTATGAAATGCAAATAATAATAGGGGAACCTTGTAGGGATTCATTAGTCCTTTGAAGATGGTATGTGTTACATGCTATTATTGTGATCTTCCAAAGTTGCCTTTTGGACCTACACCTCTTGCTGTTGCTCACTTCCTGATTCATTTCCCCCTCCTCCCTGGCACTGTCAAGCCACATCAGCAGTGGCAAAGGCCTGTCCAGGACAGTCAACTACATGTCATGGTGGCTCATGGCCTGGGAAGGGTTGCAAAGATGAGGCTCATGCTCTGGTTCAAGCACAGGGGGCTGGGAATTGCTGCCATGGCATTGCAGTTGTGACAAGGAGACCCAGGAGCTTTCTGTGCTGGAGGATGTACAAGTGGCATGTCAGATAGTCCATAACCCAAGATACATTCTGTGACTTTCAGATCAGAACTAAAATGGTGGATTTTGGCAAGAAAGGAAACCTGGAGACAGGGAAGAGTGTAACTTATGAGGCACTGGGTACAGAGGAGGTTGCAGCAGATGCTGGATTTAGGGAAAGTTCTTAAATGCTGTTAGTGCACAGAGATTTGCAAATCAATTGTTCCAAATTAAGTTTATCCCCTTTCTTTCCTTTTGGTATAGTAAGTTCACTTAACACAGAATTCTGGGGTTTTTTTGAGTCTGTTTTATTCTTCTGTAAAGACTGCTGCTGTGCTCTAGACGTGTTTCTGAAATGATTTTTGCTGAGGCTTCCTGTGCTCTAGGATGCAGAGCACTCACTGTGCACCTGATTCTCAGAGGTGGATGAAATTGGGAAGTTCCCATCATTCCTCTCCTGGACTTGAGCAATTCAACCTCCTTGGTGAGTTGCCAGAGAGGGAGTAGTGCACCAGGATGGGAGTTAACACCCTCCACTGCAGCATTTGCAGGGATGCAGCCAGGTGTTGTGAAGGGTCAGCAGATGGGTTGCACACCCAACACCACAGTGGGAATTGAGCAGCCTCTTGGGAAGGGCTTCACACTGGGGCAGACTCTGCTTTGGGTTCAGGGAGCTTCTCCTGGCTGAAGGGAAGAGACTGTGTTGTAGATTGTGGGAACCTCTAGTGACAGTGGGATTTCCAGTGACCTAAACTTGTTTCTCTCGAGCTCTCACCTGAGAGCTGCAGCAGCAGAAGGTTCAAACAGGGGAACTCTGAGGCATGTGACTACTGCAGTCCAGAAACTCAAGCCTACTTCTATTGGCTTGAGGCTGACTGGCTTGTTGGCTGATCAGCACCTGGATTTTGGTCACAGGAGGGCATGAGGGCAAAGAGCTTTGTCCAGTGTCATAAACCTTGTTCTTCCATGGGATGTGTGTGGATGAGGTACCTCCCAAGCTGCACACAGGAGATGGGTGAGACTTGTAACTGCTCTTGCAGCAGAGTGCAGCCCAGGGTGGGAGCATAATTTGGTATCTTGGACAGGGAACCATCTTGATGTGGTGGTTGCCAGCAGAGGTGGTTCCAAGGCATTAGGCAAGATGTGCAGAACAGACCTTCCCTGTGGGCAGCACTTCTGCCGATGCTGCTCAAAAGGCTGTGTTAGCTTTGATGTTAGAGGAGCAGCACGATAACCTGCCCTTGGTATTGCTTATTTGGCAGCTGCAGATAAGCCCAAAATGAGCTGCAAGGGGCTGTTTGCTCTGAATATAAAGTGTTAATGCTGAGAAACTGATTAAAAATAGGTGTCTCTGAAGTCCTGCTGGAAACTGAAGAGCTACCAAAGCACAAATGGTTTAAAAAACGCCCCAAACCCAACCAATCAAAGAAATCCCCAAGCAAACCCACCCTACCCTCACCCCATCCTCTCCCCCTGCACCCCCTGAAAAAAAAAGCAAACCCACCCCCCCAAAATAAACAAACAACCCCTGCCCCCAACCAGTTATACTGCCAAGATGTTTTTCCCTGATAAAAATATCCCTAAGTGATGCTAAACCCATTAGGAAGGAGGTGATCTTGTCTGCAAAACATGTCACTAATGGGAAGAAAAACAACTTCCTGAGTGGACAAGGCATCTCAATTATTTTTATCTCTCCATAGATACATTCCTGTGCAGGCACAGGCTGTGAAGGAGTGAAATGTGGGAACATCAGAAAAGGGGAGAATTTTCATAGGAAAAGGAGTGTAATGTACATCACTAATTGGGGTGTGAATCATTTGGCTGCTTATTGGACTCCCTTCCCCATTCTCCTCCTCCAGTGTCCCTGGAGAGGGAAGGGGTGAATGGCCCCTGTGGCTGTGTCCTGCCCACCACAGTGCTGGCCCAGCTTGGTGGCTTTAGGATTTTTGTTCCTGGGACTCCTCACAGTCTCTTGGGTTTTCAGCAGATGAGAGTTTCCCTAAATTTCATGTTATGCTCCCATTTTCTCCTGCATTTTCATAGTTGCTCCTTCATGATTATTTTTATCCTGATTCCTGTTTTTCTAGCAGAATGTGGTGAAAAATAGACCCAGTGAGAGCTGTCCTACCAGGGATAGCATCATTATATGCTGTTTACTTTTCCAAAATTTTAACTGAGACATGAACAAAAGAATCTTTGCCATATCTCTTCTTGCCCTCTGCTGCTTTTCTCAGTGGCATATTGCTCTTCAGCTGTTTGGCATAACTTTTTAAATTAAGATTAGCAAGATGCTATCCTAAATGCATTGCTAAAGCATCAGGATCATCTCTCTTACAGATCCAATCCTCCAATACAAATTGCTATGGAAATTAATGGGCTGTCTGGATTCCAGCGCAAGATTGAGACTTTATAGTGTAAATCGATCAATATAGTGTAAATCGGTCAATACAGGCAATCAAGTGAGTCAGGCAAGGTTTATGCTTAATACACTCTTGCTGTCATCCCTCATTATTCTGTTCAGGTTTGTGTAACTCAAGCACACACACGCAAATCCTTCAAACCATATGGCTTTGCTGGGTTCTCTCCATCCCTTTACTTCACATTTCATACCATTGCTGGTTTTTTTTGGAAGTTGTAGTTATGCAGTAGTAATTAAGATGGAAATCCTTCTCTTTTTTTTTTTTTTTTCCCCCCCTTAGAGTTTTGTTACTGAATATGGTTTTGGTTTTGGTATCAAGGTGTGTTTGGGCCATTCCAACCTTCTCCCACATGTTGATATGGGTATAATTGATGGACAGGATGCTGCTGTAGTGGGAATATGGGAGAAAGATAGGGTGGTCACAGGGCCAGTGTGGGGTCAGGACCTGGATCTCTCTCTTCTTTTCCTTGTCTCTCTCTACCCTGCCAGGCTGGGAGCTGCTCTCACCTGGCCAGTCTGACCAGATATGGCACCCACTCTGCTTCCTTCAGGAACAGGGCAGTCAGCCAGCTTGTCTTAAATCAGGGAATTGTTTCACTTGTCTGTAGGAATAGAGCTTTTGGTGTTTTACTTCTCTGTAGGAATAGAGCTTTTGGAGGATTGAAAATTTTAAAAAACAAAACCCATTTAAAAAATGCATTTCCCCTTCCCAAACCCTCCCACCTCATGGCTGACTCATGGACAGACACTTCAGTAACAAATAACATCTTTTGTTTTTGTCCTTCAAATAGATTTCCCAGCTCTAACCACTTTTAAACTACCATACACTTTCTTGTTTTTTCTCTTCCAGTTCTCCCAAGGATATACTGACACATGCTGTATCAGCTTAGTTTTATTCTCTTCCTGTTGGCCTCCCCTCTAATTCCACACCCAAATATGCATACAGAAATTATGATTCAGGACAACACACAGCTCTTCACATCTGCCATGAACCATCTGTATGACCTCAGGCAGTTTACTTCTCCGTTCCAAACTCTCCACTGTGTGAACCTGCACATGATTTCATTTTGAGTTGAGGAGAAATGTTAAGGATGACCACACACTAAAGTAGGAGTCTAATTGCTTGGCTTTGGCTCCAGTTGTAAACAGTAACAACTGTTCTGATCTCAGAAGCGTGTGGCAGCAGTTTATTACAAGGATTTATACTGAGCTGTGGTGGCTTGTCTGGCCAAACACATATGTCATGCAGAAGTATGTTTTCTTCCTCAGATGGTACTGATCTGCCTCTCTGCACATCCTCAGCCTGTGCTTGAGTCCGTCATTGCTCTGCTCTGCTTCACTGACTCATTTATCCTCTTTCAAACCTTGTAAATGGCTTTTCTCTCCAAATTCTTCTCTTTTTCACTGGAGAACAAGGCACACAGCTTCTTCCCATGTAAATCACGTTCCAAAACTTTGATGTCATTTTTATTTTCCTCTCTGGAATCTCCTGAGAAACCCTGCACAGGATGATTGCCTTCATCTTATCTCATCTTTGGGAGAGACCTGAGCAGGGCTGCTTCACTGGACCCTTTAACATCAATAACAACACACCTCTGTGAGTACCTCAAAGAGAAGCTTCTATATGGTCTGCCAAGTCCCACCTGGGCTGAGGAAAGGTTTTCACTAATAACACTGCAATTTTTTCTTAAGACAACGGGGAAAAGATGAGGATCTGGCAGTATGGTTTTACCATTGACACAGCTACTGTGTGAACTGTAGCATCAAGCCTAAAGAATTTCAATAAAGCCTCAAACTTGATGTTTTTCAACCTTTCCTGAATGTTTACTCCTTAGGTTCATACTGAGGGGCTTTTATAAAAGCATACTGACTTTCCAGAGGTTTGAGTGACCTGGCCTTCCTGTTGTCTCTTCTGGAGCCACATTATTAAAATAAAGCCCTTTCAGCTATTTTGTTGAGATATGAAAGGGTATTAGTGGTGTGTTGACTGGAGTACCCACTGTCCTATGAACCACCCTAAAGATGGCAAGAATCCCTCTGGCTATGTGGGGGATCTGAAGTGATCTATTTATAATTTTCTTACCTTGACAAAATGCAGGGAGTGACTCAAATATGCTCCATCCTTATGGAAATTAATTGTGTTAATGAGATCATTAGAATTTAGAGTAGTGTCATCAAACTGGTTTTTTCAGCTAATGATGGTTCTTGGGAAGATTATGTCATAACGAAGGCGGAGAATCTGGTCATCTATATATATGTGATCAGACCTGAGCCCTTTCTTTGGGTTTCATTGAGCAATGCACTAGTAGAGTCAACACAGGCAAAGAGCTGCCACCCTCACCATGAAAATAGAAGGTGCCTCGTTGGTCCTTGCTCTGGCATTTTTCTGCTTCTTCTCAGGTTAGTAACTTCTGATGTTCTCTGTGCTGAATCTGGGACTGGCAGAGGACGCAGCCTGGGAGATCCCATAAAAACAGTGGGATAAAGGACTAGAGCCCTTGTTGTTTAAAAAGCATAGTGGCATAACAGAAGACCACCCTTTTTTTTTGCTGTACTACATGTATTGATTTAACGTCTTGATAATGGCTTTTTCTCTTGTGTGTGAAAACAGTGAAGTTTTATTGGTAGGTAAAAGCATCTATTTTTAATAGAATTAACAGTTTAAGAAAAAAAAAACCCAACCCAAACCCCATTTGTCTAAGTGAAAGAATACCAATTTCGAAACAGACTGAATTTTTGCATAAAAAGCCCAACTTTGAACACAAATGTAATACAATTTTTGGTAAATTCAGAAAAATGGTAATTTCTTGTCAACACTTGCTAAGGAATGCATTTTTATATGGCTGCAATAATTTGGCTACAATAGAGAGACTTCAGCAGGAGTTATGTTTGATGTAATGGTCTTTCAATTTACTGCCTGTTTCCATTGAAAAAGAGATAATGGAGGATTTCTTGATGGCTCCCTGCGATGCTACTGATGATGTAAAAGAGGATGAAACATATTATACCAGCTTTAAGTGGCTTGGTAGAAAGAAATATGTATCAGCTACTCACCTGCTGACTCAGTATTAATTTAGTAATTTGTGTGAGGTATTGCAAATGGAATGGGCCTTGAAAAGGAATTTGTCATTTTGGACAAACAACAATGGTATGGCCTAGCTCTGATATCCCAGTTTTAAGTGATGGTGAAGAAAGCCAAAAATATTTTGTGGGGTTGATACAACTACCAAGGCAGGGATGTAGAATAATGGGAAAACAGTTACTGAACCATCCTTGGATTTTAAGCCTGACAAAAGTAACACAGTAAAGGAGGGCACAAAGGCACAAAAAAATGGATGTGCTTTTGCATTTGAATAACAAAAAGTGCTATGTTCCAGAAACTCTCTGATGCCCAGTCCTTTCTATCTGTGTAAAATAATGCACTGGATTAGCTTTTATCAAGAAGCATTTGGGTGGATTAGGAAACTGCATTATTTTAATTAAATGCTTTTGCTTTAAAATTTCCCTTCAAAGATTTTTGTATGGTTTCATTGTTGGTTTTTCTGTCACAGATGTTGCCAGCCAAGCTTCGATTAAGGCGAGTCCAACCTTTTCTATTCTGATTCTCCTTTTGTTTTGCCAACTTACACTGCTTAATGCATGCTCTGAGCAAAGTCATTTAGGAGGACTATACTTAGGCATCATAGTGCTTTTTCAATGGTAGAAAAAGCAGTGAATCTCTCCATATTTAGAGACAATACTGTTGTAATACAGTAACGACTCTAGCTGATAGTGTGTGTTTGGTGCATGATGCTGAGAACATATTCAAGCAGCTCTGGGCTGGAAATCTCATGAAATGAAGTTAGAAATGGCATGAATTATATTTTTAATGATATTTTATAATATAGCTTCTGATCCATCAGAAACTCCTGCTTCTGATAATTCCTGAGTTTCATAATTAAAAGAATTAAGGCAAGTCCTTTGAGTCTCAGAAAATAATTTGATTCAATGACTGAGAAGTCAGTTCCATTCATGTTTTAATCAAGCAAGCTGGTCTCCTTGGTAAAGATCCTTTCGGAAAACGGAGTAGCCAAAAATAACTAAACGGTTCATTGCTTCTCCCTAGTCTGCATTCCAGGCGAAGGGCTGCTGCAGCGTCACATAATATTACTGCTCTGCTTCCTGAGAGGGTTGTACTTTTCTGTGCTTGTCTTGCACCTGAATTGCTCTTCAGTCACTCTGGTCCGTTCATTCCTCTTGCATCCCTCTGGCACTTCTAGGCCTGTATTTTCTGCTCTCAAATGACTTTATAACATGGAGTCCTTCCCTGCAGCGGGTAGCAATTTGCATCTGTATGCAAATTAAATATATATTCTTTAAATATGTATTCATTTTCACGTGATTAATGATTCTTGCAATGGGTTTTGGACTTTCTAGTTGTCTTTTCTGCCTTGGGAGCTGTGAGCAGGGTCTCGATACAGCCTGTACCACGTGTGGTGTGTAGTGAGGGATGGGCAGGAGTGTGGCAGCCCCAGGCCTGGTCTGAGCAAACTGGTGCTGTTTGAGAGCATGTAGCACACCCAAAAAAGATTAAATATGAATGAACTGTTCTCAGGATCGTGATGGTAGCCTCCACTGACTGTTCTCCTCTGTGCTTTTCAGAATGAGTGCAGGAAAATTTGGTCACTTCTGCGCAGTGGGAAGTTTTCCTGTCCCACCACCAAGGAGCCCTTCAGGAGCCCGAATAGCAAAGGAGACCTCAACAAGTGCATGATGTGCCAAAGGCTGCTGTGAGTATTGGCTGCCTGCTGGCTCCAGTGGCCATCCTGCCCATCTGTCCTCTCTTCCCATAGTGATGAGCCCACTCTCAAGAGTCTCTGTGTTGTCCTGGGCCAGTCAGAACAGTTAGTAACTCTTCAGCAAACCTGTGAACCCAGTCCATCTCTCCAGCTTATCACATGGTGGGGACTCACCACGGGGTGTGAGGAGCAAATGCAGGGTGAAAACTGGCAGATTTAGTTTCTTATTTCTGTAGGTGGTGTTTATTAGGATGAGAAACCTGGATATTAGGCAGGGAGAAAGGATGGCACCCCCAGTGCAGAGATGCTAAACACCCAGTGCTGGTCCATCCTGCTGCCTTGCGCAATGGGGAGGTGGGGTCGGCAGGACTGGCCTTTAATCACCACCTGTCTTGGCTTTGCATCCAAGGACTGCAGCTGCTCCATCACTCACACCTCCCTTTCTTGCAGGGAAAGAGACTCAAACAAAGGGAGTGGTGGAGAGGTGGACAGGAATGTGAACTCCTTGGGAAAGGTGAGGTGAAACATCACTGCTGAAGCCAGTTTTATTGGCGCACTGGGAGCAGGATGATGCAGTGGCTTTGCGTCTCTTGCCTCTGACCCGCTTCCCGAGTGCGCTTCCTTGTCTGCAGTGTGGGAAATCCTGGCTTGGACAGTGGGAAAGGGTCCAGCAATGCACCTGCAATGAGAACTGGGCAAACATGCTCTGCCATGGGAAGAGGGTCTGAAGGAGTGTGAGGCTTTGTGCCATCCACGAGCATAAAAGAAACCAAAGCTCCTCACGGCTCCTCCCAGGCAATCTCGTCCCAATCGGGCAATTACTGACACGGCACATACAGTCTGTGCCTGACCCAGAGTACACACCAAGGAGGATACCTGCCTGTTTATGAGGCACACCATTGGTATCTGGCAAATAATTAATAGCAAGTTTGGCGCATGTGAGCTCTGACTAGGGCAGGGTGTGGGAACAGGCCGGCTCTAATTGTCCCTTGTTTATCTTGTCGATGCACCTGGCTGGTTTCTTTTACCCATAGCTGCCTTTCTAGATAGCAGGTCTTTATGTGAGGGGAGCTGCCTTTTTAGCCTTGGGTTTTTATTCTAGGTAGGAGTGAATTGGTTTCCATCAGATAGTGTTTGTTGCGGTGATTTATTTATTTATATTTTACATCTGGTAAGCAGGGTAGCTTCCTAGCTCTTGTGTGTCTGGGCAAATTAAAGGCTTTGTAAAGCATAGCTGTCCTAAGGGAGATCTTTTTTTAAACACCTGACTTGCCAAAGTGTGGTCCTGATGGCAGAAGGACAGTTTTACAGCGTCAGGAAAAGACCTACACTGAATTTCTTTGTTAAGCCATAGATTTTCTGTCTGGCTTTTGGCAAGTAATTTTCTAGGCCTGACTTCCCCATCTGCAGAGCTGGGATAAGTTATCAAACCATCTCCTCTACACAGTGTGAAGAAAAAAATGTATTACAGATCACGTGGTAGATAAGGTTGTAAGTGCTGCATAAACGAACTTAAAGATTTCACGTGTACCATGGGTTTCTTATGCTGCAGACCTGCCCTGAAAGTTATAGGAAAGCTGTTTGGAGGAAAGTAAAGGCCAGCCTGAAATGCTTAAGTGGGTTTTGCTACAAAAGCCTTTTGTGAAATAGAGTGCTTGGGTTCAATTAACACATACCATCACGTTAAGTGGAAGGTGAAAACACCCACGTCTTACTCTCCTGTGCCTGGGAATGTAAGGTGTGCGAGGATTATACTTTTTTATGCCTGCAGCTTCATCTTTTTACTGTGCATGAATTTTAAAATTTTTGGTAGTATGTTCTCTCATGAGATATGGGAAAACTGACTTTCTCATTTAAAATTCACTGAAATTGTAGATTTTATACTTAGAGCACAGCTTAGGTCCTTTGGGCAGGCTCTTGCATGTCTTTTCTATTAGCAATAGAAATAAGGCTACCCTGGATGTAAAAGACAGATCTGCTCATCTAAACATACTGATTTATTTGTTTTATGCTGCATGCTATGGTTTTCCATTGAGTTACTCCTCAGGGAAATAAAATAGTGTTTGAAATGTATTTCATTGGGTGAATAATCCTTTGTGGATTTGTGGGAGATGCGTCTCTGTCAGCATATCGGTGTCAACCCGTGCTTTTGGTATTTGCACAGGATGACTGTCGGGAGTTTCGGGATCTGTTCAAGAAAGGGAAACTTTCCTGCACCAGGGAAAATGACCCTGTCCGGGATGCCTCTGGGAAGCAGCACAGCAATAAGTGCATCATGTGTGCAGAGAAGTTGTGAGTAACAAAAAAGAATCCCTTGCCCCTCCTGCGGCTGATGAAGGGGAAAACCTCTCCTCTCTGGAGCACCCTGGTATTCACTTTCTCATCTTCCTTCTCTTCCAGCAAAAGGGAGAATGAGCGGAAGTTATCTAAAAACAGACAAGGAAAAGATAAGGTGAGATTAAAGTATTAGGTAGGTCAATATAGAACTTTATTGGATTTCCACCCGAGACAGACAAAAGGCAATGTTATTCTATGCAGTTGCTCAGTCTCCTCTGACTTAATTTTGAGATCCACTTTCCTTTCCCTCCCTATTTATTATTCATGCTCTTGAATCTCTCAAGTAAACAACTTGTGCCTGAATGTCCCACTGACCTGTGGATCTAGGTACAGGCAAACCCCAGCAGAGTAGGAAACCAGCTGTGCTGTACTGTCCTAAATCAGAGGGTGGAGACGTCAGTGCTGCTGACGGTGCTAATTAGGTGAAAAAGAAAAATGTGTGGAAAACTGAATCTGAACTCTACACATCTTAAGAGATCATTGTGTTCTGGGAGGAAAGCTTAGCCTTGTGTTATCTCCAGGCCTGTTGTTCAGTTTTAGCTTTTTTTATTGGAAACTTTGTTCTCATGGAGCTGCCATTCACCACCTTTTCCCTGGCATGCTGCAGCCACCATGTCCCTGTGCCCTGATGCTTTGCTGGGAAAAACAGCTCTGTAAGGGTGGAAAATAGTCGCTTTCCAATCCTTACCTCTTGATTCCTGCTATAGTAGGGACTGGTGCGGTCCCCTTAAGCTTCAGTCTTGGGGATAATCCTGTTTTAGTGTTTTTCTAATGATTTTGGCACCAAAAAATAGAAGTATAAGTGAAATTTGCTTGGGGTAAAGCTGGGAGGCAGTATCAGCAGAAAAGGATCAGCAGATCACTCAAGACTAATTGGATACCACTGAGGCCTGGAGTAATAGAACCAAGATAAAATGTAATGGCACTGCAAGATCACACAGTCAGTGATTAATAAGAATTCATACTCATTGGTTAAAAGTGACAGAGGATAAGAAAGCTCTGCATTTATTAGTGGGTCAGGGATGCGACAAGCCACAAAAAAGGCAAATGCAGAACTCAGATGGACTCAGTGAGATTTTTGCAGCAGAGGTCGAGAAGTTAACAGGGCTCCAGAAATACTGGTTCAAAGGGAGAGCGTTTGAGAGAGGCTGTTGGGGAAGGCAGATTTGTCTTGAAGGCTGAGGATTGGGCTGCTGAGCTGGGCTGGCCCCAGGGAACAAGAAAAAGAGGGGCTGGGAGAGCTTTCCTGGGTAGTCATGGAGCAAAAGCATTGCCTGAACCGCTCAGGGGTGCGAGCACATGCTGGTGGTGGGGAAGAAACAGCGAGGTTTTTGGGAAGCCCCTCTGAAGTGGGTGCAGTACTTATATGTGGTGGGAGTAATGCATTGTGACTGCTGAGCACAGCAGGAGCAGGCTCATCCTGCACTGGATCACCTCTCCTACCCATGGCTAGTATGGCTCTAGGAAAACTTGGGGTTTTGCACTCAGAGTGGTTTGCCAGTGTTAGTGCCATGAGAAAGCTGAGGAGATGGAGGCTGAGATGCTCTGGATGGGATGAGGGACGACACTGGGGAAATCTGCTGGCAGAGAGGAGGAGGTGCTATAAACTTCTGAGCAAAGCAAAGAATGAGGCCAGTGACCTGCTAGGAACCTTCATGCAAGCTATCAAAAACCCTGTGCACAAGAAGGGCAGAAAATTGCAAGTGTTAAAACCTCTTTTGTAAAAAGAAAAGAGTAAGTGAAATTCAGTTACTTACCCTCTGTACTTGCTGTTTGGAACTGGCTATTGCAGTGTGTGAAATAGTTGAAATTAGGGAGACCGAATGTTTCCATCCGTGTTACATAACAGGGGCAAGTTAACACAGTTTCTGTGCAGCAATTTTGAACAAGGAACAAATTAATGATCCACTCTCCAAACAACCTGCCTCTGCCTGTGGACTATTAAGTATGTTTGCATTGTGCTTTTATGTTTTAACTACTTCTTTGATCCCAAAGTGTGGCTGATTTGGAGGACACCACTCTCTTTGTAAAGAAAATTATCTGAGCTACTATCTGGGAAAAGGCTGTAGCTATGTATTAAGGATGTTGGGAGAAGAGGGAGTGACTTATCACCGTATTGGTCACATCACTGGCATGCTTTGGATAGCCCAATGAGGAGAATAATAATTAGTTGGACCATACTAGAAAACTCCCCAACACGTGCTGTGCGGGCAGAAGGATCTGGAATTTTTCTGACTCACTCCTCTGTTTATATGCTAAGTGGCTGGTGCTGCACACCCTCTTCTCTCACCCCCACCCAGACTCTCCCGGGATGCATTTGTGATGGTTCAATGCTTTCCTGGCAGGGAACCCCAAGTTCCCAAGGGTCAGGTCAATAAGATAAGGAGGACAGGGTGCCCTAAACTGCTGCCCTCCTTCTGCAGGATGACTGCAGTGAGTTTCGCTCCCAGTTTGAAGCTGGTGGACGACTGTCCTGCACGAGGGAGAATAACCCTGTCCGGGATGCCTCTGGCAAGCAGCACACCAACAAATGTCTCATGTGTGCCGACAAGTTGTGAGTACAGCTTCCTCTGAGCAACAATAGCAAAGGGGCAGAACCTCCAGCTGCAAAACTGCAGCTTTTGCTTGTGAAGCTGCACCTGGGCAATGCCTGGGAGAGTCCTGACTCCCAGTGGCCCTCCAAGAGATGCTCTGACAGTAGGGCTGCAACCATTGCCCCTCTTCCTGCTTCCCTTTCAGCGCTAAGGGCCCAGGGGCAGGTGAGAAGCAGCGTGGAGTAGAGGAGGAGAAACAAGTTTGACAGAGAGCAGTCTCTTTCCCAGGGGACTGTTGGGCATGGGCAGCTCCTGAGGAGTTTCCCATGCATGTACTTTGCCTTCCAGATGCTCTCTCTCTACTCCCATAGAGCATATGCAGAAGCAGCCCTGATATGAAAGCAGCCACCTGGATCCAGGATGTAGCATACAGTGGGAATGGTGAGGAGAAGGGAGAAGGCTTAGAGGTGGGAATTAGGAACAGGACCACCAGGAACAGGGACTGTGCATGGGGAGGTGGTGCCTAACGGCATGATGCTGGCTTACAGGGCAACCCTGGGTGCTGGTGGCACTCATACTGCCATAGCACTACCTTTTTTCTCCTCTTCCCTTCTTCCAGCAAAAAGGAAGCTCAAAGAGGAGGTCAGTCTGGTGGAACTGGTCAGCGTAACAGATTGCCCACTTCAGAGAGGACAAACCAGGTGAGATGGAGCTTGGAACCTATACTGAGCTCAGTGAAAGAGTCCGTGGGATCTGGGTGGCCAGGGACTGTCTGTGGTCATCTTGGGGGTAATCAGGGTGCTTATGATGCTGTAGTCAGTGAGTGATGGGGGAGATGCAAATTATATTGCAAAGCCTCACTCATTTGTGGGATGGTGTAAACATACAAACTGGACATGTTTGGACCTGAAAGAACAGCCCCTCACTTTCCCAGTGATGCTATATGAGAGATAAAGGACAGGTCCAGACTCTCCACAATCCTGTAAGCCATTGGATGACATCATTTGGTGGGTTTGGAGCATATCAAACCTGCTTCTCTAATTACAGCACTGTAATTCTCTGGGTCTGGGAGGAGGAGGGGGGGAGGGAGGGCAGGAGCTGCTTTAGCGTTGCCACTTCTCTAGTTGTATAAAAGTTGTTTCTGTGGTTGTTGAATGTGACCCTTCCCCTTTTGCAGAAGAACTGTGGTGGTTCACGGCAGGGTGTAAATGAGAGACGTCCCTTCTCAACGGGCCGAGGGTGAGTTCAGCAGCACCTGGGTTGGCAACCTGTCCTTCCCTACATACTACAAGCCCTGGCACTGGTTTCTGCCCCCTTCCACCTACATGTATTTTCCTAGGGATGGTCAGGAGGTTTATTGGAGCAGGAGTGTTTTGGCAGCACGCAAGCAGCACTGCCTGTGATGGAGAAGTCCATGTTGTTCTGTTTGGTGCTCAGTACAGCATGTCTTTGCACTGGCTAAGCTGGTGATGGGAAAGAGGCATAGTGGGGCATGTTTCTCATGCAACCCTTACTCCTTTTTGGCCTTGACTTTGTGTACTAAGCACCAGTGATTGCTGTGTTCAGAATCCCTCTCAGGACGCTTTGTCCAGCAAACCTGACTCCTGGCAGTGCACCCGTGGGTTAGCCCTGGCTCATCCTCATCCCCTGGCTCAGAGGTAGTGCCTGATGTATCACGTGCTTTCTGGGCACTGGTCAGGCACTCCTGTTTGTTTTATAGCTGCTGGACCTGAGCAGGACTCAGCTGCTGCTTTTTTCAGAGCCTTTTCTGGGGAACACTGAGATTTCTTGCTTTTGGCTGGTGCAATTCCTCAATCCCCCTTCCACCAAGTGATGCCAGCAGACACGGAGGTGCAGAGCCCTGGGGTGGTGGTACACTTGGGCTGAGCACAGGGCAAAGTTGTCCTGCTGTTGGTTGCCTCCCTGATAGAATGTGCCCTCTCCTATCCCCGTGAGCGGGTGGATGTCATAGTGCAAACGGCTCTCAGAGCTGTGGGAGTCTGTGGGGAGGGTGGGTTTGCACTGTGCTTCCTCTGTTTGGGAGGATGGTGTGATGAACAGTGTCTTTGCTCTCTCTGCCAGCCCACAACGAAACACAACTCAGCGTGGCAGGAACTGCAACCAGTCACTTGGCCGCAAGTCACAGAGCAGAGACACTGATGAGTCCCAGATGGTAAAGCCACCTCCTGCACCTTGGATGGCAGCTGTATGGACAGAAATGGGGACCTCTCCCACAGGGGGCTTCTCTGCCAGTGCTGAGCCCCCCCTGCTCCTTTCTCAGCAGATGCTCTTGTTCTTGCTGTAACCCTAAAGCTTCTCACTTGGCCCTGCATCCTGGGAAGGGTTTAAATGAGTGAAAGTATCTGTACTCTGATGCCAGTCCCTGTGTCACCTGGCACTGAAACAGAGGGAAGGGTTTGGCTCCTTTTGGGAGTACATCAGCTATGGAGGTGCTGGTTTTGAACTCAGGCTGGATGCCTGCCCCACATGTAGCCAAACTGGGTTGAGAAGTACCATCTCCCCCTTCCCCTCCCTCGTGTTGAGAAGATGCTGAGGTAAAGGCCGTGGCCAGAACAGGGTTATGGAGCTGACCAGGGCATGAGGACAAGGTTGGCAGGAGGAGGGAGTGCTAAAGGGGGAAACACTGAGCGGTAGATGACAAATGTGTATGGAATAATGTGGGAGGAAGGTGGGGGTGTCTGCTCTCCCTTCTCATGAAAGAAAATGGAATAGTTCCAGCAAAGCTAAAAGTGGAAAATATGAACTAATAAGAGAAAATAAGTTACCGCAAAAAGAGTGACTAAACTGTGGATCTCACTGTCACAGGGTGTTGTCAAGAGGTAGGATGGTTAAAAAAAAATTACCTGATGTTTTAATTCCTCTAGCATTTGCATACAGTAATTTAAATAACATTTTGGAAGGGATAGGAAGTGTATTTCCATGGGTGGAGAGACCTTACTACCAATTGCCTTAATTCTCCCTGAAGCCTCTGTCACTGACCGCTTTTAGAAAAGGGATATTTGAGTTAAAAACCCAGTAGGTAGTTCAGGTACAGCAATTTTAATGCATTCCAGAGGAAGCATTAGGTGTAATAAGGCCAGTCTGCTTCAGGGCTTAGTGGTATTTCCTGGTAGCACTGGAGGGGGAGTGGATGCTGATGAACCTGACCGACGAGAGGTGATTCAGAGAGCAGATCTGCTCCTCTCCTCTTTCCAGGGCCACCTGTGGGTTTTGTCACACAATTCTCCAGAGCCAAAGGAGTGGTGGCACTGGCTGCTGGCACCTGTGATATGTGGGGCTGCTGGTGGGGTGGCCACCTGTCCTGGGCAGAGGTACAGGCAGCACTGTCTGGTGCGTAGGAAGGCATTGAGCAGAGGATTGCAAAGGTCAGCATTGTCTGCTTTCACATCACCAATAATTACCCAAGTGAGGGAGGAAGAAGCACATTACTGAAATTAACAAGTGATGTTTAACCAACAGGTGCTATCACAGCGCCCCAAAATCACTGAAACCCCCCTGCAGCACCTGGCATGAAATCTTCCTTCCCTGTAGTGCTTCCCACCCTGTAGGGCTATTGATAAACCATCATTTTTGAGCTAAATGCTGCATCTCAAGGTGGGATGGGAAGTGCAATACCCTCTCAGTCCCACTGTACCATTTGCAGTCGTAGCAACGTATTTTGTAGCACCTGAAGATGGGGTTGGGAGCCCATTAGTCACTTTTTCGTCTCGGTCTTTTCTCGATGCCTGGAGCAACGGTGGGTGGCAGAGCTGAGGAAGGGGCTGTGTGTGCCAGGGAACAGCCTGTGCTATCCCTGACCTCTGCTGTTGGAAATCTGCTATGACTCTGCAAACACCCGCCCCGCTCTGCTGGTAGGGTGTGAGAGGCTTTTTCGGGGTCTCCAAAGGTCACTCCTTGTGCTGTGAGTTTGTCCTGGCTGTGCCACGTGTGGTTTGTAAGGAAAACTGTGCCTAAATGTTCCCGTTGCCATGCTCGAGAGGAAACAAGAGGGCACCCCTCATTAGTCATAGCTGCTCAGATATGCTCGTGTCTGTCGACGCAGTGGGCGGCAGAAGTTGTGCTGCGTGTCGCACCGCCCTCGGGCAGCGCCAGTCTGCTGGAGATGTCTTTCCTTAATTTTGGCCAATGGGCTTCGTCTTCGTTCTTGGAGATGAAATGGCATCAAAGCCCTGATAAGGAAGGAGGGCTAAGAACAGGTAGCAGAAGTTTGTCTTCTTGTGGATCCACAGTGAGAGAAATAAACCCGCTCAAGATCATGGTGTTGAGGTGGATTAGATGAGTGGGGCGTGAGGGCTCTGTTCCCAAAAGCTTGACTGGCTGGTCCAACAAGAGACACAATCTCTTTCCAAGTCCGTCCTGGCTGGAAGTGTGATGGACATGCTAGAGGGCAGAGGGGCCCCATGCAGGGCTTGGTTTATGAGCACTTTTAAGTCATGTAAAGAAGGGTCTTGCAAGTCAACCAGCACCAAATGTGATTTCTTTGTCTCTTCAGCTGGACTGTGATCGAATTCTGCACGGGGTAAAGGGTGGAAGGATTTTCTGCAGCGAATCCTCACAACCAGTCTGTGGCACTGATGGGAAAACATACAAAAATGAATGTGACTTGTGTTCAGCTGCCATGTGAGTAGGCGGAGAGATTTCACTAATACAGGGCCATCCACCATTCCCGAGTGTCTTTTGCAGAACAGTGTTTGTTTTGATACATCATGACTCACTATCAAGTGTGTCCTCAGTGCTTTGCTGTTAAGCAAACATAGATCAAAATGCCTGAGATTAATCTGATGACAGCTAATTAAGATACACAAGTTGCCAGGGTCCCCTATTCCCTTTCTGCCCAATCACAGATTGTTTGGGGAGTAATAAATGCCACCATAAGCATCAAAGCATTAAGGAGTCCACAGAGGACTGTCACGCTGATGGCAGAGAGAGCTGTGGCATTGCAAGTGAATAATAAGCAATGTCTTGTCCTCCCTTTGCAGGAGAGCTTCAAACTTCATCACGTTAAACTATCAAGGCGAGTGCCGAGAGCCTGCCCCTGAAGTGGTAAGCGGCACGCCACGGCTGGGCTGTGAACATCAATCTTTTCCCTTCCTCTGGTGAAACTCCCCTTTTGGCACTGTCTCAGCCTGTGGGGATCAAATCCAGGCAGCCACAGTGGGGAGTGAGGAATGAGAAGTAGCTGGCACTTTGTCACAAACTGCCCACTGTGCCCTTCAGCAGTAGCTGGGGGGTCTACACTTAGACCCTACTGGCAGGTTAACTGGGTTAATTTTTCGTTCAATTAACAGTGGGATAATTAAAGCCATGCTCTGCAACTGCTCTTCAGCCACATTTGTTGGGAGGGAAGAGAGGTATTGGGGCCCCCATCTCTCTTCCTCCCCGCCTTTGTTTTTCTGGATGGGAATGTTGCTGAGGTGTGGAGGAAAAAGTGCCTCTTGCTGTGTGTAGTATCCCATTTTTCACTCCAAGTGCCTGCTGGGGAGCCAACCTGGCCTCTGCCATCTGTGGCAGGATCGTTAGAGCCCCAGGAATGGATGTTCATGGTCCAGATATTTATATACAGGTTGAGACTTAGATTTAATATATAGCCTGTGCGTAGTCTCCGTGTTTTGCTTAGGGTGTATGGTAGGAGAGTGATGGGAAAATGCCTGACTTTCCTCCTGGGACTTTGGTTTGGCCAGGAAGACCACAACTGTGTAAACTACAAATGACTCCTTCCCTAAATAATATCCAGGTACATGGTTGGGAAATCAAAATTATTCACTAGGTGGCATACTTTCTGGAAAGGTCTTGACATCTTGTGCAATCCCACATAGCAGATGAGTTAAACATTTCTCAGTTGTGCTTTGTCTTTCTACCAGTGGAAACTTGACAGTCTCCAACATTTGGATTTGCAGCCAGTATCTCCCAGTTTGTGTCTGTGGAGTTCACAGGCTGTCCTGTGGCACCCAGGGACAAATGTCCTCATTGGCATGAACTCTTTGGAAACTGAATATTTGTACCAAGGGAAATAGGTCACCTAAACCTGTAAGTGATCCAAATATTGAACCTGTCAAAGAGAAGTTCTGTAAAGTTTTGGATGGAGCTTTGACTTCTGAATAAGAATGTGGTACCCATGGGTTTGTAGGCAACAAGGAGCTATGAGATATGAGAGCAGTCATGCCATGCCTTCCTTTGCTCAGTGACAGGATGCCCCCAGATCGCCAAGACACTAAAACTAAACATCCTGGCTCTTTTTCTCCTCTTCTGTAAAGCAGCAGGGTGCTCTAAACTTTGTTTTATTGAAGAAATTGTAGTGCAGAGAGAATTTTGCCTGTGATGGTACTGGAGACCTTCGTGTCTTGATTTTTAGTGAGAGGGAGCTGCTGTTGGCTTGTGAATTCTGGGGGCACAGGAAGACCAGGCAGTATGTGAGTCTGCTCGTGACTGTGCTCACACTGCCCGAGACAGAATGAGACTGGGTACACCGTGGCAACAGAAAAGTAGAGAGGATTCCCACAAAACTGTGCCTGGTCTGGAATTCCTTACTGTTTCATGTTTTACCAAGCTGTTACAGCTCTCAAGCCATTGCAATTAAAGGGGGATGCCATTTACTGAAAGTCACAGCTTGTAGCTGTGTTAAGTACTCCAAGGAGAGTTGGATGCAATTAAAAGGGAAAGTGATAAGCTTTTTCTGAGGGGTAAGAAAAGTTAAACAAAAACCCCCATGCACAATGATTTATTCTTAGTTTTTTTTATGTCACCTGAAGGATCAGACTGAAAATTTATGGGAGCTTATAAACAATGTACAGAGCAAAGCTATTTTCAGCACTGAAATTCATGCTCACTTTCAGTATAATGAATTTTTCTTTCTACTGAAGACTCAGGCACTGAATATACGCTACTAAAACCTGGAGGAAACCAGCTTCCAGCAGTGCTTTTGGCATCAGAAATAGATTTAGAGAGTTGGAATGTGCAGAATATGAAATGCTTTGGAGGAAGATAAGAAATTGTTACCCCAAAAATGTAATATTTCCTTGAGTTGTATTTTTAATATATCCATAGAGAGTGCTGGGTTGCCTGAGAAAATGTGTGTTCAAGCTGCCTCATCCCTTTGCCTGCATCCACTCCTGCCTGCAAAGCTGCAGCTGGATTTCCATGTGTTTCTGACAGCTCTGGTAACCTGATGGCCATCAGGGAAGGATGCTTGTAGGAAGGGATGGGAGCAATGTGGTTTGATAGAGATCTGATACTAAAGGGTGTTTCTGTGCACGACTGAGGTGGAAAACATTGCTGCAGAATCAGCCTGTCCCCACTGGCCAGCGTTGGGTCTTGCCACCTTGCCTGGGAGGTCTGTGCTTTAACTGAATTCCTTTGATCCTGTTCTGCTTTACTGATGAGAAATGCAGGTTGGCATCCTGGGTTTAGATATCTTTTCTTTGTAAGTTAACTGGCTGGTACATCCTGCAGTGCCGTGTTACATGGATTAATTGATTGTGGGTCTTTCCAACACATCTGACTTTTAATGCTGCATATCTCACAGTTTAAAGGTTTATCCACAGATAAACCAGGCCGTAGTCACCAGTCTGCCCACATTAGTCAATAAGTCAGGAAAAAAGGGGATATCCAGTTTCTCCTTTTTTTATTTTTTAAACCTGTTTCTTAACAAATAGAAAAGTCCTAGATGAGCAAGTCCCAGTTTCCTTACAAGGCTCTCTGTTTTGCCATGCTGCTTTTTGAGGTGGCAAAATAAGAAAAGACGAAAAGGAGGACCTTTCCCAGTTAGAAAATAGGTGTGGAAAGCACCTAGCTTCAGGCTGAAGTTAGTCTTGTTTTCCTCAGCTGGCAGCAGCCCAATCTGCCTGTCCTTGTGCCAGACTCTGCTGCAGTTATCTCATGTGGGCACTGAGTTGGCCTTGAGGGGCTGTCACACTGATACCAGTGTCACACAGCAGTGGTCAAGTGGACTTACTTTTTGCTCTTCCTTTCCAGGAGTAATGGAGTTCAGACTGCCAGCAAACACCAGGGATCACCTGTGACCAAAGGTACAGAGAGAGGGGCAGTGACTTACTCCTGCTTGGCCAGCCTGTCCTTTGGGGGCTGTTTTTAACAAAGGTGGGAGTGTCCTACCTTGCTGGACAAGAAGCAGGGCTGGGACAGATGGTTTTGCAGAATTCCTCCTCTCACTGCAGATGTGGGATGGCGGGGCTGAGTCTGTGGGAACTTGCAGTAGTGGGCTCTGCCCACTCCTTTTCCTCTGGCTCTGTTTTTCCCAGCCAGGCTGTCCCTACAGAGCGGGGAGGATGTTGGCAGAGCAGCATGTGTCTCCCATCACAGAGAGGCAGGCTGGCCCAGAACCCCTGCAGAGCTTGGGAGCAGCTTTGGTGTTTCCTCATGGTTCTTTCATGTCCCTTTGCCTTCTGGGACTATAGTAATGAACTGTCTGCCCTCTGTCTCCACAGGGCAAGTAAAGGAAGAGTCGATGTTGATCATCAGGGGAACTGCCAAGTCCCCAGGACTGCCAGAGCTGCCTTCAACCCCTTCTGCAGCAAATGGGGCCCGTCCTTGCTCAGGTGGAGGGCGAAAGTCTGTGGGGACTCCGTGGTGTCTTCCCAGGTCTGCCCTGTGCATGCCGTTGCAGTCTCTGCCACCTCGCTGTGTCTTAACGTGCTTCTACAATAAAGATAACTCATCAGCTTCATGTCACTTTTCTTCACTAAGCCTTATGGGAGGGGCACACAAGTCCCTAGTCCGGCTTTACACCAGGTGCTCCTTAGGCAATAAGCACCCAGAGGTGCACCAGCTGCTGTAAGTACCTGGCGAAGATGTTGGACCCAAGGAGGAAGAGCGTGGTCCAGGGTTTTGTGAGGAGGGACCAGGGGTCAGGTTCCCTCTGACTCATTATGGGGTCTTGGGCCAATCACTTCACTGCCCAATCAGCCCTTTTCTCCTGCCTGTAAAACAAACATTAAAAGATACTTACCTACCTCAGAGGGTTGTTTGAGATTTAATTGGTTTACATTTGGAAAGTTACAAGGAAAAATTGGTTTTAAAGCACCCTGTCTCTGGGCTGGCAGTTTAGTTGTTGCAGTGAATGTCCTCTTCCAGGCTTCTCATCTAAGGCACTGGGAAATCCAGACCACTTTGTTTTGGGCAATAGTTGGAAGTAGATAGATCTTGAGTGGTCCTGTCAGATGGTGTGCTGAGCCCTGCCCCACCAAAGCTGGAGCTGGGGGCACATCCAGGCGGAATCTGAAGGTGTGAATATGGCCAGCAGTATTTCTTGCTGTGAGAGGGCAGAACCACTGATGGCACCCTCAAGGCAGCACAGAAAGCTCAGACATCGTGATGGCCCATGGACTGTCACTGTCTGGTTCACCTTCTGCCCTGACCTGAACTTCCCTGTGGGCTCAAGGGCTCAGCCAGTGCCCATCTTTGGGTCCATCTCCTGCAGGGAGAAAAGGCTCCTTCCTTTGGGGCCCTGGTGCTGGGACAGATGCAGAAGTGAGAATTTCCATGGCATGAAATGGCTTAAGGTTTTTAAGGAAAGGTATTGTTGTTTTGAGGTGTAACTTACTTACAAACAGTTCTAATTAATTTATATTCTGAAACTATGCTAAGATAAAACCAGGCCTTGGAGTTAAGGGTTTCCCTGGCTTTTTGGGGTCAGTGAATCTGGGAATAGGGTGGTAAGCAAAGCAGGAGACACCGATGGTGGGTTAACAGAACTCTGCTGGCAGTTTGCACGTACCTCCTGTACTTTCTTTTATAGCTGTTACTTAAAGCAAATATGTTCTTTATTTGTATAAACTTTATTTCAGGACATTTCCAGAAGACCTTGAATGAACATACACGGTGTTTGAGTCCATTTAGACCTGATCTGTAAACACTTTCTCTTGCAGATAAGGCTGGAATGTCTTTCTTTCACAGTCACTTGATTTTTCTTTCAATTTTTACAGGATTTTACCTAATACCAATTAATTTCACTCCCACCAAAGACGTAGAATTTTTTCAATTAAGTTATCAAATCCTTTTTCTCTACTGCAGGTAATGAGAATTGATTTT